CAGGTCGCCTATGGAGACAGCAATAATCTGAGCAGATAAGGTGCAAATGCCTTCCTCGAGCTGGCTAACACGGCTCCACTTGTCTGCAAAACAGATACTCAGTTTGGGGCTATTCTTAAAGAAAGGGTTGACCGCAGGCAGATGTTCCTCAGTCAAGTAGAGGATTCGTAAGGGCTTCGTGCATCCATCCTCATGCATGTTTGTGATGAAGTGATGGAAAGGAGCCTGTCAAGCTCAGTGAAATGTAATCAGAAGGGCTCTGTTCTTATTGACACACTAATATCAGTGGCTACGTTTTGGTGCTACAGTACAGTTTTCTTAGCCCTTATTGAGCAAATGGAAGTGGAGAGCCACAGCTGGCACGTAACACTGACTGCTTTTGATAGAAATAAAGAATATCTTACTGTTAGCATCAAGCCCTCAGACTGACTTCCAGCTAATGGCCCAAATAATCTTTACTCGACGTGGTGTAATTGAGATCGAAGGCTGTCTGGGGCTCCTAGCTGGTACACACATTCCACCTCCATGAGCTTCAGAGCATGGTCATTGAGCTGAAATGGAGAAGGTTAAAGCTCTCATTTTCATTATCAAACTCCCCCCATCTCCCAATACAAATGTGACATTTCAATTTTACACAGTCCGACTCTTCTTAAATCATCTGTATAAAAACTTCAGATCTTGATTGATGATGGATGAGCTATTGTCTCCTAAAGCACCCAGTGCTCATTACCCTTTAAGGCATAACTTATTAATGACGAACCTGAAGTGCTTTCCCAGAGGGTCATCATCAAGTTACTGCTAAGAGCTCAAAGCCCGACTTGGTTGGGCAGGAAATTTCCAGGCCAAAGCTGCTTTGAGGGAGTACGTGCAGCATCCTGAGTGAGACACGGCGGTGCTTTGAGAGGGAGGCAGTACCTGACAGCAGATCCCATCGTCTGGACAGTGATGGGGGACATGCAGCAGTGTCAGCGTGCAAAGATACAGCAGCTCAAGTGAAGGCTGACCTTGAAAATTAAGGCCAGGTGTCAGCAATGTGCCCCATGCAACATGAATGTGCAGGGTGCACCTTGCATGGGGTGGTGCAGAAGACCGCTCCTTAGCAGACCATCGCCTGGGAGGGGTATGAGATGTCCGCTCCTTTGCTTTTGAGGGCAAAAAAACAGTTTGCAGTGAACTTTGCAAACTCTTTCTTCTTTCCTGACGACCTCCTTCCCCTTTCACTGCCCCAACACCCCCTGCTTATGAGCGCACACGAGTTATTTGCACTTCAGGATACACTGCGGAGTGTGAACGTGTCTTGCTAACTTAGTCCACATTAGAAATTGGATAGTGTAGACCAGGAGGGAATACCCTGTACACAAGAAAAGGCCAGGTGAAGAAAATGCCCTTTTAACAGATGCATGCAGAAAAGCTATTTCCATCTGCAGTCGAAAATGGCAGTAGATATGTAAATATAGTGGCCTTTTGCTTTATTACAGCGGTCATAGCAATCTTTCAATGGCTCTGGTCAAATTCTCCCTTGCATTGGAATGACTGTTAGGAATTCAGCCACTTCTTGAAGCTTGCAGGCCGGGTGTAACCTGTGTGTGATGTACCTGTCCTGGCATGTTATGGAGAGGATAAGGTGCACTTGGGTGCTTCATTTTTAGGTTGTTCATATTGTATGATAGGTTACCAGAGTTCAGAGGTGAGAGTCCTGCTTCATCACTGGGCCGACTGAAATGAAAAAAAATAGCAGAAATGGTGACTATGGCCTTTCTGGTTTTGACTACATGGATAAAAACGTCAAATTTTAGTAACATGCATGTATCTCTTTTTGCATAAAATAACAAGGCAGAGGGAGTCTTTGGTGGCTCTGTGGCCTAGACTAGCATGGAAGCCCAGTGGAAACATTTGCCCTCTGCATGGTAGCAGCAGATGGAGCTGATGCTCTGCTGCCCATCCTGGGCTTTCCAGGGCTTTTTTGGTAGGAACTAGGGAACATCTCACTTCATTTCCTACTCCAGTCCCTGGAAGAGTTCAGCAAAAACACCTTCAGGTGTCACACATGGGAGAAGAAGGTTGGTTTCTGCCTGGCTTGCCTTGCTAGCTCACCCACATAGTCAGAAACCTCTGCCTTTCTCCTCCTGTTTACTGTTTAACTTTATGTCTCACTTTCGGTGCAGTAAATCAGAATGAGATGATGACTTTATGATGATGAGTTCATTATCCGGTAGCTCTATTGTATATTGATTACATTTGTGCTTCATTTGCTCAACACGTAGCGGGGTTTATTAGGTCTTTGCCAGCATTGTTCTTGCTAAGGGAAGGCCCTGAAGTGCAAAACGTGGTTGGGTTGGTGAGGTCGGTGGAGCCAAGTGAGCTCTGCAGATCTCTGCCTGCGAGGAGGAGCGTACGGGAAAGCAGCAGAGCGAGCTGGAGTGAATGTGGATTCAGCAGAAGAGGGAACGTGGCACAAAGGTGCTTTAGAGGCGACTCAACTTTGAACTCACATTTATTTTATGGTCTATAAAAGCCCAGCCTTGATATTATTACCGATCTTATTAGGGCCCCAGTGCATGACTAGACCCATAGTCACTGCTAGGCTGGTAAACTTTAATCAGCTCCTCTGTGGAAAGCAGTACAAGTTGGGGCAGATCAAGACACTGCATCATGTTTTGGGGTAAGACAACGAGTGCAGCACTTTTTATTCACTGATGAGGGAAGTTAGAGCATTTTCCATGTTTGCTTCTAGTAGATCACAGCGAAGGCTGGCAGGTTTTTACCCTGACAGTAATGAGGGGCCAGGTTCTGTTTACTTTTAAGCTGAAAAATTTCTTTCTCCACAAATTGAAACTAGGGGAATGACTCGTCAAGAGAGAGATGCTGCCTGATGTACAAGAATGCATCAAAGTTCCTGAGGGAAAGAAGACAATGTGATGGGTATTGTCAAGAATGAATGCTCTAAAAGAGTAAATTATGCCAGTGGCAGGTGCTCAGATGTATGGCCTGATAGGGACACTATTTGGAACAATGTGCAAGTGTTTAAAAAAGCCCTGAATGTAGATTTTTCCATATTTCACAGCTTGTTAGACTTTATTTTTAGACTTTATTTAGATTTGGGCCATAGCAGATTAACTAATCCTGTATAGCTGGGACAAAATAGGGAGATGGTGACTAATGATGTTTGCCAGTGTTCCTGTAAGTCCCACTTTTTCCCCCAGAGCAGAATTGCTAACAGATGCTGTATGGGGTTTTTTCTCAGGGACCATAAGAATATCATACAGAGAAATCATTGCTGTGCCTCTAATCTGGACTCTTTACCGTTATTGTTTTCATTTTTAAGCCCCTTTTCAATGAAAAGCTTTAAACCTGCTGTTTCTAAGAACTAGATATTAGTCCTTTGAACAGATTAATATGATAGAAAAAATGTTTTTATGGATGATCCGTTATTTAATATGTACCTTACGCGGCAGCTACCTTCTTCATGGACTGTGGTCTGTAACCCCTGAAATGTTAAGAGAAAAGTGCAATAATTCATTCCTTGCTGTTTGGCAACGCCTGCAATCCCACTCCAGCTCTTAAAGATTTCCTTTGGAGAGGAGGACTATCAAGCAGCCTTAATCACTGGCACAATAATAGAGATTTACCCTTAATGCCTCTTTAAGGAGGATGACACTCCTGGCTGTATAGCACCACTTAATGTCATTCTAAGGCACCATTAGTAACTAACCTTCAGAATTTCTTTGCTGAGGCTTGAATCTATGACACTAAGTGGTGCATGGGGTTTGAGCTGCATTGTTCCTATTAACTTTAATGAAAGTCGTATGGCTTTGGAAATACCTGAGGCAGGTTAAGAAACGAGGAAGGGAAATAGTGGGATTTAACAGGGGTTTGGAAGGTAAAAAGAAGTCAGGGCTCCAGAGGAAACCCTGATGGACCTTCCAACTATGGTGAGAGTGTTTTTATGTTGAGATTTGCCACGTGGAGTCTGTAGAGATAGGGAAATGAGGCAACTTGGTTAAACTAGCCAACATAAATGTGCACAGAAATAAGGGAGCAATTTGATGTTAGTGAACTTCTCAACTTAGCTGATTTTCAAAATTTCCCTCAACAAAGTGTCCCGGCCTGCCCGTTTCCAGGTAAGGAGTAGCCAGCTCATCCACCTGCTCCCAAAGCACCTCACTTGGACCAGCAGCTCCCAGCTGGGCACCTTGGGGTGGGTTTGGATCATAACCTAAGGAGGAGGATGGACAAAATAATTCACAGCACAAATCTGTTCTTTTTTCTCTGTTCCTTTATGTCAAATACGTAAAAGAATGCGGCCTCTTTATTGAAGTTCTTACAGTATTTGTGACTAAGCTTGATATAAAGGGAGTCTGCAGGAGCTTTAGGAAAATTTGAAGGTTGATGGTGATTCACTGATCTAAAAAAGTGTGTGAGGCCCTGCAGAAGGGATTAGAATATGGAGCGTGTTACAGCAGTGCAGCGTGATGGCAGAGAAATGCTCTTGCAGGCCTTGGGACAGCTGCAGCTCGCTTATTTACTGCTGGATCCGAAAATTCCTACCCCCGGAAACTCGTCAGCTTATTGAATATGTTTTAATGTTCATACATTAATGAAATTCGGCATAGTGTGATTGATTGCTTGTGTTTTTACTCAATGCAGTCCTGAAAGGTGTTTTATTCACAGAGAGCAGTACTGTTAGTTCCTGGATTACGCTGGAGCAACAGATTAACCCAGGGACTCGCCTAGCGCCTGTCGGATCCCCTTGTCTGGGGTGAAGACGCTGTAATCTGTGGCATCTTCATCGGGGTTCTTCTGTGTAAATAAATGGTTTGCCGTTTACAAATACTATAAGCTGCTTTGCTCTCCACTTTCCAGAGCGTTAGGTGAGCCTGTGGTGAGAATTTCTGCGTTTCAGTGTCATGCCCTCTGCCTCCCCAGCAGGCAGAGCAGCCGCAGGCCGGCTTGGCTCCGCGTCTCGGGTCTTACACGTCTTCTCCTGCCTCTTGTTGCAGAAATCCTGAATGGCGGCGTGTACGTCGGCCAGAACAAATTCCTGTGCTTCGCAGACACCATCCACTGGCAGGACATCGTGCGGAACCCCTGGGCCTCCAACTTCACCTTGGTCCCAATGAACGGCAGCTCGGGCTGTAAGTACCACTTCTCTTGCTCGTCAGCAGCACAGCACGGACGTGGCCTCAGGTATTCCCCGTGGGGACAAGGGCATTTGCCACTTCTCACCCTACAGTGATAGGTGGCTTTGTAAGCTTGTTTAAAAACACATAGTCTCCATAGAGGGTATTTGTGAGTGTTATTTTGTGCCCTGTGTTGTCTCTTACCTGTGTTTCCTGCCCATTGCCAAGGATGGTGGTGGGGAAGGGCAGTCAGTACTGTTTGGGCCGTGGTTCTTCCTGCGGCTCGGGCTCTGCCTTGGCTCACAATGTGCTGTCCCTGCTATCAGAATTAGCTCCTGCGGTGGTTGTTTAACAGGCTTGGGGATATTTTGACTTTAGATGCTGAATGAACCCCAAAGAAGCAGCTGTCCTGTTGTCCTGAATATATTTATCTCACAATGATTTATATGTGTGTGAGAGGATGTCTTCAATATACCCAACGTTTCTCTGTTCTCATCATGTTCTCTCCTTTTTAATGCACCATTTTTCAACCCTGGAGCATCTGTATGCCTTGATTATAATCAGCTTGATCCGTTTCTTCAGTTCCCTTCCCTAGGGTTATTCACCTTCAGTACTACTTGGGTAACTCACATGGCAGCAATGAATGAAGACTTCAGCAACTGGTGGTGGCAGTGATGTAAAGTGTTCAGGTAGAATATTCCGTAAAGCGGTCAAGTGTCTTGGGAATGAATAGCAGGCTATTAACAGTGCTCTAAGGGTGTACCAGCACCAAGATTCAGGATTAGGCTGGGAGGAAGTCTGTGTCTGATAGCAGGTCCGCCACCACAGTAGGCTATTGCTCTGGGTGTTCTGCATATCACTTTAGCAAGCCTGAAGTTACCCCTCAAGGATGTGGAAAGGACCTCTTCACCTCCCACAGCAGCCCAGAAAAACCATCAATCCTTCAGCTGTAAGTGAGAAATACAGAATTAAAAGTCAGGTGAGAGAGCTATAATTTGTAAGGGAGAGTGCCCTCCTACCCCTAGGCTTCGTGGTGGGGTAGGGCTGGCACAGGCTGGTTTGCATCTGCTTGCCTTGCTTGGCCATGCTGGAGCTCAGGCTCGAGCCCCTCTGCCTGCAAACTCTGCACAGTTGCAGTTATGGTATTTGCAGGTCTAAAAAAGAGGAAAAAATCATCGCTGGTGAGTTATCAGTTCTGAGCAGATAAAACCTTTGAAGATTAGCACATGCCTGCACTCTTTTATCAATGATGATTTCAACAAGAATAAATTCCGGTAGTTATTTTCTTTTGTTCTGTTACTGTTTTTCTTCCTTTTTTTTCCCTTAACCTTTGACAGTTCTTCCAGACAAATACTTCTGCAATAGTAAGGCAATAAGCTCTTTTAGAAAAGCAGCCAACATCAATACTATCTTTCTGAGCTAGTGATTTTGCTGGCGACTCCAGTGGGATCAGAGGGAGATGAGTGCTGAATACTTGTGGAATCACGACCTGAAGTTAATGCAAGCGAATGTTGCTTCCTACGCCAGGATGAAAGAATCTATGTACCTAAGCCCTGTTGTTTTTTCTTTTTGTTTCTTTTGAAGTGCTTCAGAATATAGGGAGGGAACATTACAAGTGATGCTGTTTGTTCCTGGTAGACCAGGGTGCAAGTCTGAACAGTGTTATTTCAGTGGTGATGGAAATATATGTTTGTTAAAAAGCTGAATTTCTTTTTTTCCCCCCTGTTTGGGATTGAAAAGAACCTAATTGACTGGTCTTTAGTTTCCTAAACACAGAAACACAGTTCTTCTTCCTCCAAGAACTTGGATTTAGTGCTATTCCCAGGTCCCATGAAATTCTTGATATAATTAGCAAATCCAAACCAGGTTCTGTCTTGGCAACTTACATAGCTAAAAATCTAAGCCTTGTTATACAGAAAGTCAGGAAATGGCTAAAATGATTTAACCCAAGTGTTGAGGCTTTTGGGGACATCTGAGAAAAATGGCAGCTGCTTTTCCTTGCTGAAATCTTCTTCAACAGTCAGGTGCACGAATGCCTTTAAAAATAACTGAAATTAAATAGTTTCCTCTGTGTCTTATAATGTACCTACATATATATGTGTGAAAAGCCTTCAAAAAGAAAAAAATCACTCAAAGGAATGAGGGAACCTTACTATTTACTTGTCAAGAAATAGGAGAAAGTGCAGTTATAGATGTGGTAGTTCAAGAAACAATTAAGACAATGTATTTGTACTGGTATAGCAAGTACTCGGAGAAATGAGTTTTAAGTTATAAGCCCTCAATAGCAAACTGTATAGAGCATCATTAAAGAGGATATATGATTCTTCTGCCATTTGGCCCCTGTCACTTTCCGTGGTCAGCTGGGCAATGTGCCCTTCTGGCCAGGCTAATTTCCCACTGTGGCAGAAGATGCTCAGCGCGTCACAGAGTCTTTGGTGCTTTTCTGCAGAGGCCCCGTGGCAGGCCGAGATGAGTCCCTCCTGTGCTGCTGGGACGGAGTAACCAAATGCTGTGTCGGGGCCACCCGCGGCCCGGCTCTCTGGGGACAGGCACCTCCGAGCCTGGCACTGGGACGTGCACGCTGAAATTCGCTCGTTGTAGTGCCTCGTAGCTGCAGCTTTTTAAATTAACTGTGCTTTGAAAGCAGCCTTCTCTTCTGCTGACATCAGAATTTTCTACTTGAGGTCTTTAAGCTGGACACCTAGCGGTCAGAATATCGAAGATGCTTCATCTAAAGAGCAAAGTTTCCTGTTAGGTTTGTACTATTCAGTTCACTTCTGCAGCTCTGAAAGGTTCCCCTCTCTCCTTCCCCATGCAACCCATGAGCTCAAGCAGACGTGTCCCTGTCATTCCGTGGGATTAGGCTTCTTGTTTAAACCTGCTCTAGTCAGGTGGGACCCCTCCTCCTCTCCCAACAGCTTTAGGAAAAGTTCAGCACCTCTGGACACTGGACCACTCTGCTCAGTGTCCCTATAGTGTCCCCAGTGTCCCTATAGTGTCCCCAGTGTCCCTCTGATCTGGCTGTTGACAGGAGCGATGCTCGAGCACCCTGGTAGCTTCTAACAAGGACTCTGGTCTTAAATCCCAATTTTCAGCTGAGCTTTACTTGGAGATTTCATTTCACAGAAGAGTCTGAAGGGTTTGAATTATGAAGCTGGGGTCATTGTGCATAGCTAATAGCGCACATCCAAATAAATCAATAATGTGTTCAAAAAAAATACTGAAGTGCTATGGATGCATTTTCGTGATGGAGCTGGTAGCGCTTTGGATAGATTAAAAGATGACTTTTCATTTTCCCATTTAAAAAAAGTACTGCTCGGTAGAAGTTCATGTCAACACGTGCCAAGCAACAACTGAAACCAGTGAAGATTAAGCAGGCTTTAGTACTGTCCCAGACTGGAACTTCTGATTATAAAGTGAATTGAGATTTTTGCAAAGTTTTTCTCCTGGCTAGAACTGACTTTTGGCCAGAGCCACTGGCTGCTCGTCACTGTAATTTGCTGGTTTCCCTGTCAGTTCCCGACTGTTTTCCTGTCATCCATATATTTTATTGCCCGGGATTTTGGGCAGCTTTCCCTGGAATACTATCAAGCCTCGGCACAGCGGTGGTCCCCGAGGAAGGCCACCCCGATGGCGGTGTAATTGCTCGCTTGCAGCTACTTCTGGAGAGCCCCAATTAGCTGCTGCTTAATGTGTTTTCCGTGCGCTTTATTAACATTGAAACGTAGAGACAAATCTAATTAAATGTTTAGCATTTAGCCGGCGCGCTGCATTTTAATTAAAAGAATAGAAAGTAGATGGGACGGGCGTGCGGCTGCGTGGGCAGTCGGCTCTCCCGGATTGCGGTCCGGGTTGTGCTTGACCTTCCCAAGTGGATGCGTTTGGAAGCTGTAGCTGTATTGAACATACCCATGTCTGTAGGGTGGGTGTTCAGTTCATTTGAGTGAATGTTGCCTCCATTTCTTCTCCTTTTCCTTTTCTTGCCTTTCCTTTTTCACGGTTGGAGCCAGTGCAGGAAGGTACTGCGGTTTTTTGGAAAGGATCCTCCTCTAAAATATTGCGGGAATGGGGACGATGTGGTAGAAACTTAGCAGAAACATCTCTGTGCCAGTCTAATTTAAAGCCAAGTGCCCCATCCTTAATGGCTAGAGGAGAAAAGGAGCCACGTGGATGTGCAAACACCCCTGGCAAGGTCCACGCCGTGTATTTCAGAGGGCGTTTCTGTGAACACGCTGCGAACACCGGGTGCCAGCAGTGATTGCTCTGACATGCACAGAGGATCGTTCCTGCACACGGTGCCTTATCTGGGAATTTATGCTTGGGTCAAACCATCGCGCAGTGAGGCCTGAAGGAATTACGTGATCCTTAGGGAGACCGGGCTGCTCCAGCAGCCTCGGGCGGCTCGTCCCAGCCTTCCTGCAGCGGTTCCTGCTGTGGTTAAGTGCTGAAAATGCAGCACGCGCCTTGGAGCACAGCTAGCGTCTCCCTTCTGGTGCACGTCCAAACTGGAAGCCACCTGCGGAGGAAATGGCAGCCCAGCAAGGGAAAGCTGAAGGCATATGTTATTGTGGAGTTTGTTAAATCACAGCCTCTCACTGAGGCCGTTTCTTGGAGCTCAATTCACATTTTAAACGTGCGTTGGGAGACCCAAGCGCGGGGCTGCTGCGGAGAGGTGGGCTTGGCACAGAGCACCTTGCTGCAACAAGGGCAGGAACCGATCTGAAAGGTTAAAAAAAGCAGCAAATAACCCATTTTGTGACCCCTCTCTGCGAGAGCAGCACCCTGCAAGTGTTTGCAAGGCGGTGTTTTACCAGCAGTTACAACACGCTCGGTTGGAAAGATATTTAAAGCAGTGCTGAGTGTAGCCAGCCTGCAAATCCCGCAAGCTGCTTTGGTTCCCTCTTCCCCGAGGTGGCTTTCCCTGCAGTTCAAGCCTCTCTAGGCAGGAGAGAATTTCTTTATTACCCAGAATTGAGAGGAAAATACATTATCAGAAAGCACTTATTTTAAAACATAGTTTTTGCCAAGCTCATGGACCTGAAGATGGAGGAGAAATAAACGGTGTGAAGAGTCTGCTGCACTCCAGGCTTTTAGTACATGAAAGGTAGTGGTGCAGGGAACTTACTTTACAGTAGTAGAGCAGGGTGAATTGCCTGGAGTTACCTGGAATTGTTTTCCTCAGCTCGGAATGTGTGTTTTGAATGAGGGGAATCACTTGAGGTGCCTGATAAATGCCTTTGGCTGGTGTTTCTGGGAGGGATTTGTGAATCGGTGGATGCCCTTGAAACCGATTTGGAAAGAAGGTGGATACGGTGCCAAGTGGAGACACAGTGCCTCTAACCACCACAGGAAACCTGAACAGTGAGCACAGGGTGCCTGGCTGCTGGGGCAAGTAATGCTGCAAGGGGGCAGGGCTGACATCTCCTCAGGCCAGGATTCAAAGCAGCTTCCAAAACCTTCCTTTGGGTCCTCATTTAGGAGCTTGGAATATAGGTGGAGAAGCCCAGAAAAGCCATCGTTAGTGAAGCGTTCCTGCAGGGCTGTGGTATTTGGAATACTTGCAGAGTAAGACAGGCAGGCTGGGGTTTTCCTGTGGTTTTATGCACATTGCGTCCTACAAAACTCTCAGTGTTTTCCTGTGGTTTTATGCACATTGCATCCATTCCTGCACGCCCGATTCCGCAGGCTACGTGGTGCTGCAGAATGTGCACAGGAAACACCTCCGCTCACCGGGAGCCGAAAATTGCCCTCCAAATTACAGCCTGGCGTTTGTTTGCATGGTATTTTCATTGGATATTTGTGCATAGCAAACGGGGCATTGAAATGCCAGCGTATGAGCCCGAGCATTGTTTTCAAGCAGAGAAAGGGCTTCTGTTGTGCCATAATGGTTCTGTAATAATCCCTTCTGTGCAGAGCAGCCGGAGATATATTTTGGATAAGCATTTACAGTTAAATAAGCATGTTGTGATACTTACCCAAAGTTAGTCTAAAACTGGGCTCCAAATGTCATGGGAATGGGGAGCGCCTTTCTGAAATTTCCATCTAATTTAGGAAAAAGTTTATTAAAACTTCAGCGTGTCCAACTGTACGCAGCCAGGCTCCAGGAATATTAAATGGTGTCAAGAAAAAGTGAAGCGACTTTTAAAAGCCACTTCAATTCCAGCTTTTCATTTCCTTTCTCTGACGTTATTTGCTTAAAAAAGGAAAACTGCCTGCCCCTCTCTTCTAACTTTACTACCGCTTTGGCAGCATTGCAGGGACATTATCACGGGACGTTGTTTTGACTTATGTGGTCTCGACTGCGTTGATCCTTTGCAGGGGTAGAGGAGCTGGTATGAAGCAAGGCCAGGAAGACCTCAACGTGTCTGTGGGTTTGCTGAGCACCTCTTAGGTGAAAACCTGCTGTATCCACACGGGGATTTCTGTCCCGGCGCTGCACGAGGTGCTGAGGAGAGGAATGTGCCCAGTTTGTGGCCGGGCTGGTCATTGTTAGCCGTTGATTGTGCCCCTGTTGTAGCCCCGGCTGCGTGAGCAGGGATGGGTTCCACCACGTGGGGCATTTCCTGAGATGGGGAAGTCAGGGCCCCACTCGCCACAGCTAAAACTGGGGGCGATTAATGGCTCCTAATTGCTCTATCAGTGCAAAGTTTCAGGCGGTGTCGGACGTGCAGGTTTTTATGTCGTGTGGGTGACTAGACCCCAACTAACGCATCAAGGCCCTGCTTCAGGCGGAGGCAGCGGCTGCTGCCTTCATCTCCCTGCTCCGTGCCGTGCTCGAGGCCTCCCTCCGTTCTTGCCTCTGAGAGCAGAGAGAGGGGCTGGGCAGAGACAGAGAGCAGAGAGAGGGGCTGGCTGGGGCGGGAGGCCCTGGGGCGGGCCGTGCTTGGAGGGGATTTGCTTTTACCCGCGCCATGGTGGTGGTAGTGCCGGGAAACAGGATATTCCCTGAGGAGAAGGCGCCTGAGAGCAGGGAAAGCAGGGCGCTTTGGAGAGGATCTGCCCCTACGTTTCTATGCCCAATAATGTTTCCAGCCAGAGGGAGAGCAGTCCTACGTAATTCCCTAGGAGTCTTCCTCCATGAGTTCCTCTCCCCATAGCAAGACTTGTCCCTGCTGCCACAAGGAGAGGAAATCCTGGAAAGCGCCAGCCTCCGTGCTAGGTAATTAGCTTTCCTATCAATAGACGCGATCTGAACACTAGCACGGGGCTGTAGGAAAGGCAAAACGTTTCTTCCTTAACAAGGGAGCGTGAATGAATAAACGTGTGACAATAGGAATTGTCAGACAAGGACAGGGGGGCATCGGCGCAGCCTGATAAAGGCAGAGCCGTCCCTCGTGACAATAGTGTCTCTCATTCCTGTTGATGCTCTCCTGGGGTGGCTGAATTATGTTTGGATTTTGCAATAAAATGTGTCTCATACGTAAAACTGAGGAGTGTTGGTTGCTTAGAAAAACATCAGGCGACCTTCTTTAAACCTTATTCCATGTCTAGACAGTGGGAAAATGAAAAGCTCTTCTGGCTGAGGGTGCTGGAAACTCCATAGACTGTTTATATCTGGAAACACCTATATGGCCTCTCTAGCATTTTTACAGGAGTTAACTTTCAGGTTAAGTGTGAGTTTATAAGTAGCTTGTGGAAGGTAATAAATTATTTATAGGTATTTTGATATAGGTATTTTGATAGTTAATTATTTTAGACTGTTAGATAAGAAAGCTGCTTATAAGCATGGATTGTAACCATCAAAGCCCCTTCCTTCTGCTGTGTTTATTCACATTTCCGTATCAGTGTGTTACCCACACTAACATTTATTAATGCTTATTAACCTGCTAAAAAGCATCTAAAATGCACACTTGGTGCAAAGTGGGCCAAGGAGTCCTGATGAACTCTAAGAGATGGGACTTTTCTCCATTTGGAAACTTCGAGCTTTTCCAACTAGTGCTAAGTGTTCTCAGGTCTGAGTGGTTGTCCCCAGCGCTTCAGGGTGCTCAGCATCTTTTGATCTCAAGGCCCAGTGGAAGAAATCACAGGGAGAAATGGAATTCTGCTACTTTATTCACTTTGGTGCATGAAAACAAAGGAGAGGAACTCTTTTACAGTTCCATAGTTTGACACTTCTTCATTAGCTGTTTCCTTTAGAACTTCCTTCCATGTGTTTTAGACACCCAAAGAATAAAATGAAAAGGAATAATCTATTTTATGCAAAGAATCATGTAATAAATCTTCACTCAAATCTGTGTTTGACTCAGAGATCTAAAAATCACCACATCTTTCACCAACCTGCTCATGGTGGCTGCTGTAAGACATAATTTGGAAGCGTACCAGAAGAAAGGTATAGGGAAAGAGCTGTGAGAAGCACTGCAGTTATTTTAAGGGCCTTATTGTCTTCAAGGCCGTACACTTATTATCCGTTAAGCCTGACATTTAGACCTAACCCAGAGCACAGTTCCTCACATGGATGTTCCTGATGTTCCTAGCTACTTAGGTTGACTTCCATGGGATTGCTTTCGTGTTAAGAGTTACGAAGCTGGTCTTTAACGGGGAGCAACCTCTCCTTATTACAGTGGGGAAGAAACAGGAGAAGCTTTGAGTGATGTGAGGGCAGAATCTGGACCGGTTCATACTGAGAACAAACTCACTTGCTGCTTAAACAAACACACCAGCATAGACACGCTGCTTGGAGGAGGCTTGCCTTTGGCTTTTAATTCTCAGTGTATTTGACCTTCAAAAAGACTTGTAAGAATGTAATTTGCAGGTGTGCTGCATGCAGGCTCCGCTCCCTGCTTGGTCTGTGCAGCTGAGAAGCGGGAAAGCAGCGAAGCAGAGACTTGGGGGTCCCAGTGAGAAGACAGAGACCTGGCAGCCTTTGCTCGCTATATTGTTAAATATCTCTACTTAGATGCAAATGCTCATCTGACACTGCCAAACAAAGTCATGTTTCGGGAAGTAGGCGTGCAAGATAAAATCCTTTAAAAAATGACTTCTGGAGATGCTACATCCCTTTTACTTCCAGGACGAGTAGAGCTGGCTCAGTATGGCGTTAGTTGCAGACTGAGCGTCAGCTCACCTAGGATTTTTGAATACAGAGGTTTTCATTTTAAGCAGAGCTTGTGCAGGAGGGCAGGAGGCCTCTGCAGTTAGAGGTTACCTCTCTCTGCAAGTTGCAGTGGGAATCCCAGCACGGAGAGCGCGCTTCCGAGAGGGTGGAAGTCAGGAGGGAAGGGGAAGCGGCAGCCAAACTGATACCTCGTGTTCTCTCCAACACAGACGCCCCTCTTCCTATGGAGGAATGAGTCTTATGTAGAAGACATGGAGTAGCCATTATATTAATAGCCCTGGAAAATGAAATTACTCCTTAGTCCTTCTAAATTGGTCATCTTTTCTGGTGTTACAATGTTCCAGTCATTATATGTAGCAGAGAGGGATTTCAGCTGTAAAGTGCTAAGATAAGTACTTTAATGTTATATATGTTTGACACCAATTCTAGCTCTTTCTGGTCTTTTTATAGGCACTGTTTTCAACCTGGGTGGTGCATAGAAAGCCTCCCAAGACAGAAATGGCTTTTTCTCTTGAGCAGCCCATGGGGACTGAAGAATGAAGGGAAAGCAAATGTCTAATCTCTCTCTCTTTCTGTCCCGAAGGCGGCCGATGCCACAAGTCATGCACTGGACGATGCTGGGGACCCACGGAAAATCACTGCCAGACCTGTAAGTGTGAAAGACTCTGAGAAATAAGGGATTTGGAAAAGGCCTAAAAGGGATCCTAAAAGGGATACACCCATTAATTGCAAAGAAAGGCAAATTCTGCCTTTCACATGATTTAAGAAATATTTTAAGGGTTTTTTTTCCATATATTTTAATGATTTATTTTTTATTTTTCCCTGTGTGAAATTAGGTTTTACTTTCCCCCCTTGTGCTCTTTAAAATTCAAGCTAGCTTAAGATTTAGTTTCACTTCTTGGTGGCAATATGGAGCATGACTCCTGAAATTATTGCTGTGCTTGTTTGTGTTGGTTGGTCTGTTTTTGGAATGCACTAGGAATGACTAAGAATCCCATAGGAGTACAAAAAACTACAAGGCAGATCCTGAGATCTTTTAGGGGGGGCCTAACACTGCAGGGATTTGCTTGCAGGAAACAATACCAAAATATTCTGTTAATTTCAGTGGAAATGGGAAGCAATAGTTACCCTGCAGACTTGTCCTCTTTATAACAAGGTATTGGAGTTAGAACTCAAAAGTGAGAATAATGACAATAATTTTTTGTAAGGGAAGTCCTAAGTGAAGGGTTGCTGACAACATCTGTCCATCCTCCTGAATTCAGAGAGCATTAAAGTGAATGGAAAAGGAGAACTGTAACGAGGGAGTTTCTTTACGTGCGTTCAGCCCATCCACACAGGCACTAAGGAGCTAGAAGTGCAGTCGCAGTGTTAGCGAAATAAAAGAGGAGACAGTTTAGAGCTGTCTTTTCCTACAAGGTTCTTCCCCTCCCACAGGCGTGGAGGAACCTTCTACATTTCCCATCCTTGCAGCCTAGCGTGGTGGAAATGCATTGGGATTACTGGCACTGCTCTTATTGGGAGATGGAGTGGTTGCTGGTGCCTCGCTCTTCCAGCCTGTGCTTGTCTCCTGGCTGAGCCATTCTGAGCAGATACAAGGGGACCTTCTGCTCAAAATAATTGTTCTAAGAACCTGGATAGGTTTACACACTTGAGTAGGCTTATTCAGGCCTTGGAATAATTATGTGGTTAGTTCATGAGAGAATATTTTACTGCTTTTGCTGTTGTCTAAGGATAATATCCACGTTCAGGCCTTGGCTCCAGGCTCTAGAGCACCATGTAGAGTTGCTGAGTCCTGCTGGACTCTGTGGCTGCAGAGGTCCATGCTGCAGGAGCAGCCTCCCTGGTCTCAGCTGCTACGGAGTCAGCTAAAGCCAGCAGCTTAGCAGAGCTGTGCAGTGGGTTTAGTCCTGGAGTGACATCCACCTCTCTTCACGACTGCCCTTTCAGGCTGGAGCAGTGGGGACATGCCAAGGCATGAGTGTGGAATTAAAATAATAAAAGTATATAAAGGCATCGGCTGTCTGACTTCCAGGAAGATGTACAGATCATAGGTATCTAATTTGAAATAGCCACTCTCTGCCCCTTGCCCTTTCACCAGCATCATTCCCTGCAGCCTCTGATGCTCAGGGACAAGGAGTTAATTTTGTTGCACGCTTCGCTTTTCCTTCCCTGACCTCACGCCGCCTTGGGTAAACATCAGATTTAAAGAAAAGATTGATGTGATGTTAGGTTGGCACCAGGCCTTTCTTCATAACCTTCAGTGTGCTTTTCCCAAACTTGTTTTGCTGCAGATTGTTTGTGGCAAAGAACAAGAGTATGAGCAGGGACTCAAAACATGAAAATCCAGGCAGCGCGGTGCTTTTGCTGCCTTCATTTCTGACTTAAAAAACATGCCTGACTTTCAAGCTCATAAATGATATTCTTAGATACAAGCTGGAGCCGGGATGAATGGTATCACAAAAACAGTATATACCCTAACCTAGTCACCTTGAAAGATGCTCGTCTTTCAAACGTGCAGGAAAATGACTCTACGGTGCTGCAGTCCAAAGTCAAAATAGTTTGTTGCTAGAAACAGAACTCGGAGATGTCTGTCTGCATTTTAATAAATTCTTATTTTTTATTGATCCACTGAAGCCAAAAAATGTAATGAGACCCCCTCCTAAGATAAGTTTTAAATTATTTTCCTGGGAAAAGGATAAAAACTGAAAGATCTTAATCCCCGTCTTTCATTTCAAATTACATATGGAAAAAAAAAAACAACGGGATCCTTTTGTTTTTGCATGTATATCACCTAGCTAGCTGTTTCTTATGCTGCCTTCCAGCTATGTTTCTCTCTGTGTTTATTCAAATCTGTCTAAAATACCACCTGCATCTGAGTCTGTCTAATGTACCCCTAAATGTGAAGTGAAAATTTATGTATATAAGAAGGCAATTAATAGGAAATTTAAAATAAGCTGTTCCATTTAGGGGTAGAGAGGAGAAGTTCAGGATACTATATTACATATTTAGCGATCTGTTTCTTATAATTAGAATATTAATAGATATTAACACCAAACACTTAAAAGTTAGAGGATAGTCTTTGTTTCACTATCAGGAAGGGCTTAAGCTGGAAGTTGTTAAAAAGCATTTTTAAAGGGGCATTTGTCATACACTAAGCAGGATGTCAGCCATTTGAAATTTAAACACACAGGGACAAAAACTTTTGGAAGTTACTGCTCAAAAATCTGCGGTTACATGATTTCTGATTTTATTCTTGCTGTATATTGAGTTGTGTTTTTTCCCTTCTCTTATGAAAAGAAATTGAAACTTTTATAAATTAAATACATTGTTTTATTAAAATGATAGATTATGCACTTTGTCCTAAAGGGACTTACCTTAAAAAAAAAAAAAAAAAAAATCTAATTTAAAATATAGCTCCAACTAAGGGAAGGCAAAAAGCCTCTAAATCATGTAAGGAAGAGAAGCAATGAGCAAATGTGAAATGCTGCGTGTCTGTACAGGAGTTTGGCCTGAGCATAATTGTATTTATGCAGTCTTTGTGCAGCTGATGTAGCTTAGGAAAAGAAGGTGCCGATGCAGTAAGTACCCAATTAGAGCAAAAAAAAAGCCGAGCAGCAGCCTGGTGGGGGAGATGGAAAGAGCTGAACCAGCAGCTTCGATCAATCAGGGCAACCCAGCATTTTTGCTTCAAGCCAGCATCTTTAATTAAAATCCTTGTATTTCACTAATAACTTTGCATGTTCATAAGACTTTTTCATTGATTTCAGTTACTTCCCATTTCTTCCTTCATAGATTTGTAGTGCCCTGACATAATTAAAGATTAAGGGAAACAATAAGACAGACTGATTAATTGCACACACACATGGAGTACCTCTTCCACCCACTCCCCAACATACTTTATTGCTGAAATGCTAGAAAAGGATTGGTAGATGGTGTTGTGGTGTCCCCGAAACAGGAGGCCTTGGCCAGGGTAATGTGGAGCCCCCGAGTGGTTGTGAACGTGGCTTTGAGGTGAGGGAATCCTAGGAGAGATGACTGAGCAAATATTTGGATGTCTTGGACATGAAGCAAAGAACTGGTCTTTGCATTGCACTTTTCTGGATACGCCTTAATTCGGAGCAATACAAGTTGATTACATTTGGAGGGAGGATATAGAAGATGAAATGCCGTCATTTTAAACCTGTGCAACTGGGCTTATTTTCTCTACAGTTACCCCATGCTAAAGACAGCAGGAAGCTGAACTGCTGAGTTATGTTCATGGGGACTTGAACATTGAGACCATTTCAGAACTTAGGGCCGTGGATAGTGCTGCCTTTTGCTTGCTTTGCTTCTGGGGAAAACCCTTCACTGCCAGCATGCCACTCTAGCATGATCCTTAAAAACATTCAGAGCTAAGCTTTGTGTTTTTTGTGTGTTTTCATGTAAAGTGTCACTGAATGCATCTGACAGCTCCTCTTCAGAGCTGGTCCTTAAGTAGCAGTTACGATGCAAACGGGGCGCGTGGTGAACCGGCAGATAGATGAGGGACATGGTGGCCTGCTCCTAGCGGGAAACGGTGCCATTTCTGTTGGCAGTTTGCTTTCCCAGAAAAAAAAAATAAACAATTAGGCAAGAACAGCAGCCTTTCAGCCTGTAAATTTTGCAAATTGCTTGGTAACCCTATGGCCTGGGGGAAAAGGCAGGTTTCCCCATCCAGACACCGGGGCAGAGGGGTGAAGAGGGGATCGCAGCTCTCCAGAGCTGTCCCTGCAGAGAGGATGATCTGGTTTTTGAGCAGGAAACGTGCTCCAGAATAAATTGTTGTAGTCACTTAAAAATGTAAGGAATTTAGTGGGGGGGGGAAATGTTATCTATAGCAGTACTCATGGCACCAGCTTTACTGGGAGGCTCTGGAGGAGGGTGAATAATTTAGGAGATTTTGTCCTAATAGTGTGAAAACGGCTGTAAAGATCTCGGTGAATCGCTTAAGCCCATTGCTGTTGCTGGAGCTCGTTTCCTACGGCTGTTTATAAACTGGGTAGCCGTGGGAAGCACTATTATCTGCGGCACAGCTGGAAAGGAACGTGTAATCCCCAAATATACAGATCTCGGCTCCCTGAAAAGAGCAGCCCTGAGCCCACAACACGGCCGTGCCTCCCGCTTTATCCATGTGCTCCGGCTTAGCGGGGCTTGTGTGGCCGGGACGGGGCTGCTGCCTTCTCCCACGTGGGGAATTTGCTTCGCTTTTCCTCACTTTTGGGGGAGGCAGCAGTGGAGGAGGCCCAGGGCCTCGTGCAGCCTCACTTTTTCAGGTTGAAATTGCGTTGCCGCCAGGGCAACGTTCCCCACTCCACAGCACCTTCTGGTTTGCATGGCTCATGTCCGCCCCTCTTCCTCTTTTATTTTTTTTTTCTAGTGTAAATTGGATCAATCTGAAGCCTGTCCCTAGGCCCTCGGCCTCTAACTGGAGCACCTAAATAAATTAATAATACAAATTGTGCCATAACATGTGGCTTTTAGCGAGGCATCCCTGAAGTGACCTGCCCTGAGCTGGACCCTTCTGGAAGGTTCCAGCGGGCGGCACTGAGCACGTGCAGTGTGGGGCGGCTTAGATGTTAACGTTAGGTTATTACTGGTGCTTATTTACGTTATCATCTCCTAAATAAACAACCAGACTATCGAGGTGCTTGGGCATTCCTGAAATTTCTGCAGTAATTGGTGGTGCAGGGGATTCTTGCTGGCAGGTGCTCATAGAAGGAGCCCACCTCATGTTGGGGAGAAACTTGGAGGACTTTTTGCCTTCCCTGACCTCCTGAAAAATGTTTTCCATAGATCAGTGAAATACTGTGACCAAAATAATTGGTAAAGGTTAATTGTAAAAGCGTGATGTCCCTGCCACTAATCAAAATACAGCTGACGGCCCTTCCTGACGTGCTGTGAGTGGTGTGCATAGTCTGGAAAATACTAAATTATTTTCCCTCAAGGTGAAGATAAAGGCTAGAGCCTGCGACCAGGCGGTTCAGAGCTGTAATTCTTCCAAAGGGAATGGACACTTGTAGGTTTCTATCCATAAAGAGGGGTGCTCAGAGATATCAACATTACTTCTGTATGAAGATACCCCTGTGTGTAGCTTGTGTGTGAAACGTTGCTGCTGTGGGCTGGGATTCTTCCTTGCAAGGGCTTGTACAGAACAATACTATGAATTCACAGAAAAGTCAAAAGATTGTGGGTGCATGTGTATATTTATATGCATTTATGTGTAAATATTTAAAGAATGCATCTGCAAAAATATCCAAATCCTCAATGAACTTAGACATGTTGCTGAACGCTTCAACCCATTACAGCTGATTCAATATACTGTTTATTTTAAAATATGTATTATGCCTTGTGTGGTTTCCATCAGGGTGCAGTCGGGGAGCGCTCTCCTTGTTTCTCGTGATGCTGACACGCTGATTTTTCCTGCCTCCTCCTAGTAACGAAGACAGTGTGTGCGGAGCAGTGCGACGGCCGGTGCTACGGGCCCTACGTCAGTGACTGCTGCCACCGGGAATGCGCTGGAGGCTGCTCCGGGCCTAAAGACACCGATTGCTTTGTACGTGAGAGACCTCCCCCTCTTCTTCCCAGCCAGTACAGAGCAGATTCCTATGCTTTAATCCATGAAATCCACTGTTTCGATCCCTTTTAATATTTTGAGTGTATCCTCCTGGATTTTGTCTGCAAATTTTATCATTCAGTATTTTTCATGTTATATAAACATTACTTATCTCTTCAGTATTATCCATTAACAGATTTATAAGATTTACAAATACAGATTGGGAACCATTAATATGCTAATCTCTCTGATTAGTATCTTTTACTCTCCAAAGTTAACTTTTAGAGGTGATAGGGAATTTTTGAAAGTATTTAGTACTGCATTTGGGTATGACTTTATTACTACCCTGTGTGCTTTTTTGTTTGAAAGTCAGGAATACAGTGTCTGTGAAAGGTGTTTGTGTTGCTGCCAGGCTTGATTTAAAATCACCTTTGCTGCTGCTGATGCTTTTCAGTGGCGATGGAAGTAGTTTCCAATAAACCCTGCCTCAAATACATTTTAGATGAAGAGAGAGAAGACAGCTAACTTTTTCCTGAAAAATACATACTTGTAGCTGAATTTATCTTGTTGGTAGTAGGTTACTTGTAAAAAAGCCAGCAGACTTGCCCCCCTTTCTTTTTTTTTTTTTTGCAAAATGTATAGCTCATCACCCTGTACTCGAGCTTTGCTAGCGGTTACTGTTCCCATATAGCAGTAGAGGAACGTGCTGAAAGCTGAGGTATTGAACCTGTATTTTCCAAGTTCATCTTAGAACATGGTATTCCAAGTGTGAGTGCTGTACTACTGCAGCCTACAAGAAAATGAGTTCTATTTTCTGAACTGTGGCAGTTATGGGGATGCATGGGCTAAAGCCCATGCTAGCATGTTTGTTCAGATACAGCAGGGCAACACTCAGGACTCTTATTCTCATTTACTCCTGGCCCTAGAGCAATGTAAAAGAAATTCAGCAGGGGGTCAGCAATTTTCAGGACTAGTTATTACTTGCTTACTACACGCTGGGTAAAAAGTGTAACCCTTTAGACTGTAAAAAAAAAGTGGTTGGTTTTTAGCTAAAAGAGACAGCTTAATTTCTTCCCACCTATACCTCTGTGCCTTCATTCCCATAGTAGCAGCATTTAGCAGCAAATGCTAGAAGTTTGCATACATCAGTGAGGCAATTAGGGATGCATATGAAGTGCTAAATAGTAAAAATTCCTGATCCTTCTGGATGGACTGTTCCTGCAAAGTGCCATCCCTGAGTAATGTGTCCATGATGTGCTTTGTTTTGAGTGTGCATTTGCTGATCCATCATGAGAGGCGTCCTGTGCATGATAGAGTACGTGCAAGGACTGTGGAAGATATGGAAAATGTCTTGAGGAAACAAGCTAAATTAGTATTTATTAATAAGCAAAAGTAGAATTTATGACGCACTAAAAAATCCTTTAGCGTATAATGGCAGGCTTTAATAATATCCTGCTGTGAATACGGTTCTAATATTTCTAGATAAGATTCATCCTTTCTGCATGTGTTGCTGTAGAGTCATTTGTGTATTCAGTCCCAAAAGCAGGACAGTAGTTCCGTTCTGACTGAACTGCAAGCAAACGTGGCAAAGCCAAGTTTTAGAGATGGTCTCATCTCGGATTCAAAACCAGTCTGGATCTAAAGCTTGAAATGCACAGCAGGGCCTGATCTAATGCCCAGTGAAACCAGAGAAACGACAACTCCTATTCACAGAGAGGACTTCCCATTCAATTCTTAGAAAGGAATAACTGGCTGTATTTATAATCCCGGAGCTGTGAGAAACAGCTAGTTTTTGTGATTCCTTCTAAAGCACCAAAAAGGCAGGATCAGTGTGGCTTACCTGCAAGCTCAGAGGGTCACGCAGGCTAGTACGCACTGTGAGATAGTGGCTTTATCTCAGGGCTCCCTGTTTGTCCCTCTCAGCAGCAAATATTTCCTCTCCTGGTTACATTATTACTCTCTCCTTTCTGTAATCTTCTGACATGACAACTAAGCTACCTCGCTCAGACCGCTCGGGTACAGCCATGATCTGCATGGGGATGAGATCTGTTAGGAAAAGCAGGGCATTTCTTTGGCAGCTCCCTGCAGCCCTACCTAGGTGGTAGGGGCAGAGGGCTGGTTGGTATGCGTGCTGACTCCTCAGCGGGCCAGAACCACCTGCCTGTTTCTGAATCCTTGAAAGGGATCGGAAGGAGCCATCCCTAGACTCAAACTTTAAAAAGCAACCTGGCATCCGGAAGATGAGTTAATGGGGAAGCAGAATCCAGGAGCCACGGTTGCTTAAAATGCTAGAGGGATCCAAGCCAAGCAACCGCTTTCATATGCATGTGGAATTTGACACTATTTACTGTTTGTGAATTTTCTCCCTATAGTTTTTATAAATTGTGGTTATAACCATAGACACGATGTGTGGTGATAAGGAATGTCAAAATCAGTGCTTTTTTTTTTTTTTCCCCTCCTGTTACTAATTATCAACCTTGCATAGTCAATTATTTCCCCTGCATACCATTACTCTCTTTATCCACACACTTGCCTCTTCATTTGTCAGGGCCCTGTCCTCTGTCAGCTGCGGGTGGCTGAGCTTGAATGCTAAGTGATACAAAGTCCTATTTTTCTCTTCCCAGTGTGTGAAGCAACTGACCTTGTTAAACGTGCCACTTAGGGAAATGACCCCCTCCTGTGCTAGCTCAAAAGAAGCTCTTATCCCCCTGGCTTTCTAATTGGGAATTTCAGTTTTCAGCTGGACTATGGACTCACGCTGTAAGAAATCAAAAGGTTGGATGTCTAAAGAACAAGTCATTAGCATTTGTTTAGACTGACTATGATAAATAGCTGTTCACTCTTGGCGGTTTTAGATTGCCCTATCGAGTCGTGAATTAGTTGATTGCTGGTAGTAACAATAGTTATGAAACAAATTACAGTTTTGTTATGTTTTTGTAGAAAGTGTGCTAACACTGAATGGTCTTTCAGATTAAGGGGTCTCTGTGGGCTCCCTTTAATGTGCCATGTATTTGCCAAGGTCCTAGCAAGAAACTCAAATAGGCAAAAATGAAGGTTAGAAAGCCATGTAGCCCATTCCTCATCGTTGCTACTTCTGAGCAGTTTCTGAACAATCAAGACTCTGTTAAGCTAAGGAAACTTGGAAACCGCAGTGTAATGTGAGTCTCTCTTGTTTTGTTTCTTTTGTCTCTTTCTCCTTTTTTTCCTCCCCTGCCCTGCAGGCCTGCATGAATTTCAACGACAGCGGAGCATGTGTCACCCAGTGTCCCCAGACGTTCGTGTACAATCCCACCACCTTCCAGCTGGAGCACAACCACAATGCCAAGTACACCTACGGAGCCTTCTGTGTCAAGAAGTGCCCACGTAAGTGCTCCTGGCCCCGGCCCTTTTCATTTTATTTTAATAGGGGGGAGCATTCACTCGCTTTCTGTTTTGCCTGTCAGCCACTTGCTGCATTTATGTCTTTGATCGCCACTTAGGACTTCAAACATGTTACGCCTGTTAAAGTCATGCAGAAGCTATATTAAATACTGACATTGTAAAAAGATTTTTAAAATCCTGCTTCAGAAAAATAACAGTACACAGTTGGCTCCGAATGCTTTCATGATGCTCCTGCTCTTTCCTTAGTTTGGAATAGCAGTGGTTTTAAAAAGTTGACATAACCATTTTTTGAGCAGTTCTCTCTTGGTGAGGGAAAACCCTGCAGTAATAGCAACAAAACGGTCTTAAAACTCCAGAATAAAATTGCTGTGGCAAGAGAAGGAGGTGAGATTTTTATCTTGAAAAACGGGCAGGAATTAAAACAAGATTAAACACTTAGGTATTCACAATACACACTCCTGAGACACTCAGCCAGAAGACAACCCAAAATTGTGTTTAGTGTGCTCATTGTCACAGACTTCAATGTTGTAGTGTCAGCTAAGATACAGAATAAAGGAGGCAGTGTTCCTGCCCCGCTTTCAAAGCCAACGAGGTTTGTAGTGGTAGTGTGTATAATTACTCCATAGACAAATTACATATAAAAAAGAAAGGGTAATTTACAACCAATAGAACCGTAATTGATCCTAAAGCAAAATCCAAATTTGGAATCCCTATGGAGAAGTTCAGATTGACAGTAGAGTTTCGTCTGTGACTATCAAAGCCTGTTCTTCCTTGAATAAAGGTTGGATTTGGGACTCTTTTAAGCAAGATAAAATATTTTACCAAATTGATGATACCATGTGTTACTTAAGGGATGAGATTCTTTACCTTAATATTTCATTAAAGGGCCTTTTTCTTGGTTTAAACCTTCTTGTCATTGTTAAGCTTTCCATCAGGTAGGATCAGTGTAAATCCCCTCTGGCTATTGTTTTATAAGGCAAAAAGGAAATAATTGTCATAACCTTCTGCAGTACTGTATCCCAGATGTATATATTTGTATATCTGTGAAAGAGGGTAGAACATTGTGGTCTATTTTTCTATTTCTATAATATATATCCCGCATGTTTCCATTTCTATTTAATTTGCTATTTCTACTTGCTGTGACCTCTAATATCTTTGATAATAAAACCTATCAGTCGTGGAGGGGCATGGGGACTGACCATTCGTGGGTTTGTAGGTCAGCAGAAAGACATGCCTAATTTTCCTATTTAAATGCTTTTGAAAACGTTGACGTGAAACGTTACCGTGGAAGTGCTGAAGCAAATAGTAGTACAAACTGACAGAGAAGCCAAGAACACGTGTCCCAGTATTACTGCAGGTCACCTTCAGTCAGTATTTTCTGCTTTTTCAGACAACTTCGTGGTAGATTCAAGCTCTTGTGTTCGTGCCTGTCCAAGCTCCAAGATGGAGGTTGAAGAAAATGGTATAAAGATGTGCAAGCCCTGCACTGACATCTGCCCTAAAGGTAGGCAGTGCTTTAGCAAAGCTTTTCCTCAGTGTAGTCTACTTTTTTTTTTTTTTTTTTTTTTTTTTTTTTTTTGTGGAGTAAACCACTGTTACTTTGGCATTAAATATCCTCCAAGAATAAATTTTACAATATTTGATATTCACTGCCTTTGGATAGCCACAGAGCTTTCAGCTGTGTAACCTGCATGTGAAGTGTATTCTTAAACAGAGGGCAATGAATATTTATTAAGTTGCAAGGGTAATATAATCAAAAACATACACTTTTGCTTTAGAAATATGAGAGAGGGTGTTCTCTCCTTCAATTTTAGAGAAATGCAAAAGGATTCTTTATTAAACTATTTTAATGGTCAGCATTTCCTCCAGGCATGTTGGAGCTCTCCTTTGCCCCTCTGAAAGGAGGTGTCTCAGCTTGTCTCTGTAACATTAGGTCTCCATTTATTTCTTCTGTTCTCTGGCAGCATCTCTGTTTTCCCAGAATCTTCTACTTTTCTAAATGTGTGAGGATAGACAATGTTTATGCAGTTGTTCTGTTAAGACTAAAATATATAAAGGTCTCTTACAGAGACTTTCTCCCTCCGATTTGAAGGTCTTGGAAGCAACCCACTTTTCTTTTTGTTTCATTGCTTTTTGGCTTGTGAGTGGTTAAATTCACAGGTCCATCTCACTGAAGGTGGCCTGGGGGTTAGCAATGTTAGGACCTCTCAGTTTCTGCAGTGAGCAGTGCGCACACAAATGATACAGCCAGCCTGCCCTGAGCTCAGGCATCGAATATCTGCTGCAGCTGGCTTGAGTGGGAATTCGTGGAGTTCAGAACTGTGTTTGGATCCAGCGTGAAACATCGTGGTCTGTTATACCAGCCTGTGGCAGGTACCCAGCACCCAAGCAAACTGTTTGCTTTAAAAATCTGCACATACTTGTTCGAGAATATGAGTTAGGAGTGTCTTTTTAACACATTGCTCTTGCTTTAGCTATGGAGGAAATGAAGATTGGTTTCTCAAAGGCCAGCATGTTTTTGATTCGGTAATTGCTTTTCATAGTCGTTAACACAAGCTCCTTGTTCTGGCAGCTTGTGATGGCATTGGCACAGGAAGTTTGGTGTCAGCCCAGACGGTGGATTCCAGCAACATTGACAAGTTCATAAACTGCACCAAGATCAATGGCAACCTTATCTTTCTCGTTACTGGCATTCACGGGTAAGTGGCAGAATTTTAAGATGCTGTGTCATGGTGCCAGCTGAAGCTGATTGAGTCCACCTCTTAATTGTGCCTGCAGGCTTCGTTCACTGAACGGTACATCCAGGATAAATTAGTTTTTGCCTTTTGTTGTGAAGGAATACTGTTAGCCTGCTTCTTATAATTTGATTGCTGTGAAAAGAAAAAGGATGAGGTAGATCATTCTGGAAGCAGAAAACATAGCTGGTATTTGTGTTTACTTCGAGGTCTTTGGTAATGTCTTGATTAGAAAAGAGAAAAAAAGTTACCTTCCATTAGTTTTTGTGTTAAATTTCCTGTCACCAATGGTGTAGTGTGCAGAAAGTGGACAGAGCTCCTTATCTGACAGGAAATTGCCATGGTCTGGGGGACCGTCCCTGCATGCACGTGCAGCAGTGCTGCCCTCTCCTCTTTGCACCTAGCAGTACACAGTTCTTTGAAGTACGTGTTCAAATTTCAGTTGCAGAGATCTGCAAAACTAGGTGTTTATTTAGAAGCAGTATTTTGACTTAAATATGTCAGTGTAATGAATAAATCTTAATCGTAATTGAAGATGTGGGAATATAGAACATGTGTTTGAAAGTTCCTACAAGTTCTCTCTCGGAGGGAAGATAAGCTAACCAGATAGCAAATATTTCATGTTTATTATGTCTCCCGTTGAGCACGGAGCGCAGCATGAACGATTAGGGTAAAGCACAGGAAGGGAGAAGGGCTTTAATTAGGATGGTTTCAGGAATGCTGCTTCGGACTTGTGGAAGCTGGAAATGTCATGCAGGAGGTGGCACCGAGGCCTTCCTGCTCCCTGACCTGCTCAGGTGCTCCCGGGAAGCGGGCTGTAAATGTCCCAAACATCACGTTGCAGGAAGGAGGTCGGTGAATGCAGCACAAGTGGTTGGGTAACGTGAGCAGTCTGGGTGGATTTTTGGTGCATTAAGCAAAATGTAATTTTTAGTACTAGGCATTAGTTGCAATAATAATGCAAACTAATTGCAACATTATGAGACGAGTAGCCTTAATAAATCTAACCTAAATTAAAGGGAAAAGTCTTGGCAAAACCAGTGTGGAATAAAAATATATTACTCTCAATCTAAAATATGGGCTTATAAAGCAGAGTGTTGAAATATTTTTTTACACTTATAACAGTATAAGCTCAGGACACTTAAGCTGGAACTATCTAACGCTTAGTCTGTCATTCTTAATGACAAAAATAACTCCAGTCTTAAGTATCTGTTAAATTATTCCTCAGAAACTGAATATATTGTTAAAAAGAGAAGGATATTTGAGAGCTGATTAAAATAATTGTATATTTGTGGGACAGCTTTTTGTTTAAGATTACTATTATACTTTGAAAATAAGTTGTATTATAGAAATTAGATTTAAAAATAATAGTAATAAGAACATTAATGCATGTTTATGCTTGCACTCTTAATGAACTCCTGGCATGAATTCATACACTCAGAGTGAATATGAGCTTTTAAAAACAGGACCTTTCAACATTTTGCAATCTAGGGATTTATAGACCAGTGTTACGTGGGGAACTGGAAGGTGTTTTGTGTTGGCTGAGAGGAACTTGAGTAAAAGATGCTAAGAGTGGATGTTTGTGTTTTGACTGGTGACTCTGCAATTGCACTTGATCCCGCAATAATTCCATTTGCATGTGATCCTTCCCTTTCCTGAGGAATTGAGCCCAGCTCTCCTTTCATTTATCACAGTATATTTACAAAATTAGCCTTTTTTAGAGGCACAGTTACTTATAATAGCTTATGTACCAAGTATATAACCATTTTGTTTCTATAGGCTTTTGCTTGTGTCATGCTTGAGCCATGGCCAAGCTGCTGAAGTTGGTGTGTGGCCTTCCACATGTAGATATGGCTACAATTCTGGGATAGGATCCAGACAGTCTAAAATTAGCCCTGGAGCTGAGGGGTGTGTGAGGAGCAGAGCAATATTCCACATCAGTGACAAGCATCTTCAGAGCAGCGTTCAGATGGTGGGTGCCCACCCAAGGTGGGCCCTCGGGTGATGTCCCTCTCTGTGCCCTAACGATGGAGGGAGGCTGGAGCGATGAGGCTCCTTAGGGACTTTAATTAGTGTCCTGAAGCGAAGCAAAGGTGAAGCCTGGCCTAGGTGTTTTGGTGAATCAGTAATATTAATTCTTTTAAGGTAGCACTCTCTGAACTGCATGCATGGAGCCGTCTTCATTAAGCTGCACACCTGCCGCCTGAAACAGAGACAAAAAAATGCACCAGCTGGAAAATGAGTAGGCTTCCCTAGATGGGATGCAGTCTTCTCTCGCCCATTTGCCGTAGATCCTAAGGTCCTAAAGGACCTTTTTAGGTCCAAAAAAGCCGAGCTGTGGCTGCCGGTGAAGTGGTGGGATATACCCAGGAGAGCTGTAGTTCAAGGACTGTCGTCTTCCCCGTCCTTGTCCGTCCCCAGCTTCAGGTGCGGCTGAAACTCTCATTCTTGGGGGCTGTGAAATTCGGCTGTGCCTGTTCTGCTGAGAAATATTGAAAAATCTGGCTCTGCTTGTGAGAATGGTAGTAGATGACTGCATTCTTCTGCAGTGGTGTATGCTGGCGAAATGGCTATATCATCCGTGTTGACTGCTCAAGGGGCTTACACATGTATTTTTATTTTCAGAGTGTTTAATCTTAAGATACCATAGTATATTTGCCTATAGTGGATGTTCGCAAGGAGAATCTTCTGTACTCCTTTCAATTAAAAATGTTTGCTAAATGGTGGCACTCTCAAAATTAAGGTCAGCATCAGGTTCTTATAATTAGAGATTTTAATGTTTAATGGAGGCATTTCTGTTCTCTTATTACCAACTTGAGAGACTTGGAAGGATCTGTACTCTTTATGGTCCCTACTCAACACTTTATTAAAATTGTACCTTTCTAATGTCATATGTTAAGGACTGTTGGCTTGCTGTTACTTTGTTTTGCTTATAGCTCGCTGCTTGTTTTAGCAGCTGTTTGTAAGCCCTAGTTATAGGGTATTGCAGCTGAGCCCTTTAAGCTAGTCTTGGGGAAAAAAAATGAGTATCTTTTCCTTAGGGATATCATCCATGGTTGTTCAGAATCCATCAGTTTTCCACAAGCATAAATATTTACTAAAATATTAATGGTCTGATCCTCAAAGATACTGAGCACCATCGTTTCCCAGGAGGATGTCTTGGAAGAAGTTAGGTGCAGATTCTGCAGATCAATGGTCTGAAGAAACTGGAACATCCTCAGGGGCATGTGCTAACTGGGAGCAAAGTGGTGACCCTCCAAGTGCTGCTCCATGTGATGTAGCTTTGTGAACCTGCCTTTTTTTCCCCCTTTCCTATTCAGAACATCACATTTTGTTCTTTTAATCCTCCAGGGACCCGTATCACACAATTGCTGCAATCAATCCAGAGAAATTAAATATCTTCCAAACAGTGAGAGAGATAACAGGTAACACACGCTTCTGATGCCGTATATTCTGAACTCTTTCTCGTTTTGCAGTCATGCTGGACATTGTTGACTTTTTTTGAAGAACACAGGATGCTTTTTTCTTTAAACTGTGCAGGAAATTCAATAGAAGCTTAGTACTCAACACCTTCAATACCTGATTTTATTCACGAATGTGTTGCCTTTACTCCCCTGAGTACAGAATGCCCCTTACACATGGGAGGCTTGCACTTAAGTGTCGGAAAACCAAGACCTTCCTGTTAAGTGGGAGATAGCAGCAAAGTGGGGCGAGGGGCAAGGAGCAGCTAGGGAGGAAAATGGGGTAATGTGAGAAGCCATCATCTTCACTTGAAAGCTTTTGAAAAAGGCCTTGGAAAAAAGACAAGCCAGTCTGTTTTTGCAGCTACTTGTGTTGGCCTGACAGAAAACAAGGGGCTCTGTTTTTACAGTTACTTCTTTCAGTCTGACAGCAGATGCTGCTGCAAATCTAGTTTATGTAATTTTAAAAAAAAGTTTATGCGAGATTGGAGCTCCTCCCATCTCCTGTGACATTTCAGTGCGATCACTTAGCCAGAAGTCTGTGCTTACTGACAGTTTGCCTGTAGTTTTCTGTTGTTTCAGCATTTGGGGCATAGGAGGGACGATCCTAACAAGTTTGAGTTCTCATTTAATTGCTGATTGGGAAATAAAAAAGAACCTATTTGTACACCCCAAAAAATCTTTGTCCACTGCAGCAGATCCCTGCCAGTGCTTGGCATTTGTAGTGAGTTCACTCCCACTTTTTTCAGCTTTCTGAAGATGTTCCTCGTCCGTCAACCACCAGAATGATTTCAGTGAGAGTGGGATCATAAAAATGAAAATAAGCTCTGAATCTCTCGCTAATTAATGTCAGAGATGATTTGGCACCTGTTATCTATAATGATTTTATTCTTTGAGCACATCATCTAATTGACAGTCTTAGCTCTAATACTTCAGTGGAACTACCCATAGGCTGAAGGATGCGCCGCATTGAAGTCCTGTATTTAAATAAAGGCATGGAGAATGGTGCTATGGAGATGCCTGTGTAAAACAAAACAAATAGTTCCCCTTAATACTTGTGCATAAGAATGCTCTTCAGTCAAGAACAGTCCTCAGACACATCCACAAGTGGATGCGAGTTCTTTGTTTAAACAAGATTCTTTTATTTTTGATGCCTCAGAACAGATTTCTCAATTTTTGTCCCAAGTGCCTAACATATCTTAAAACTCCTGTTCTAAACTTGGCCAAATCTTCATTCTGGCTCCCGTTCTGGTTCAGAAGGGGCTGGGAGGCCCTGTGAATTTTCAGCCTGGGCTCAGATTTGCCCTAGTTACTGATGTTGAGAGTGGGCTAGTGCAGAGGTTGCCTCTGTAACAGAGCTATAATCCTTCTTTGCTTTCCTGGAGGAGACAGAGCTGAGCAGGCTGATGAATTCAAAGAAACTCTGCAGCACTCATTATCTGCTTGCTGCTTTTTCCCAAACAAGCACAGTCTTCAGGTTAAAGGCTAAGCCTGGCCCTAATGCATGTATGTGATAAAAAAGACTGAATGGCTGAAATAATGCACACTCATATGTCTGTTTTTCTCCTTCAGGGTATTTGAACATACAGTCATGGCCTGAGAATATGACAGATTTCAGAGTGTTTTCAAACCTGGTAACTATTGGAGGAAGAGCTCTGTATAGGTAAGGTGTGCTCTCTATTTCTGAAATTGTTTTGCAGGGTTATTAGCGTTCTCTATTTAGTACCACAGAATGCAACATCCTAAGTGTGATCCTAAGGCATTCGTTTGCCTTCTCTGTTACCAAAGAATTGGTTAACAATATTTTTGTGTTCTTAGTCCTTCCTTTGTAATAGTAGTAATTTCTGAATATAGCAATTTAAAAAAGTCAAATTTCTTGGTTCACTTTGTAACCATGAACTCATAGCCCAAAAAGTACTTTTTATGGTAGTATTCTAACTTGTCATAATCTGCCCTCAACATTAAAATACTTTCAGAATGTGAAATATAACTTCAAAAGAAAAAAGAGCTTAGCCCCATTATCTGGCAGGTTGTAGCATTCATTGAAAAATTCTGATTCAAAGAGCAGACTCGTGTGTCCATAGAGGAATGTGGTCAGAGGAAGCCTTAGAAACACCTACAAGGGAGATCACTGAGCTCCCTGAAGTACTTTGCACTTGAAGCCTGCATTAGCTCTGTATTTGCCTTCCTGCAAGTGATGTTTTGGTATAAAAGCTGATATAGATGAGTTGTTTTGGGAGAGAAGCAAATACAGTGAGAAATAATGGGGGAGAGCCTCAAGGTATCTACGTGATGCATGCAGCAACCCCTGGCTCCCGATTATGGAAATGGAGGCAATTAGTCATGGGATTCTGCTGACATCTTAAACAACAGCCCGGGCAGATTATGTATAGCTGTGAGCTTGAATTACAGCCCGGGATGCTGTTGGGAAATGGCAGTTGTTATTAAGAACAGCTGGAAAACAATTATAATCATTTAATATAATAACTTAAAGGATGCCCAGAAACTGGATATTGGCTTCCCTAATTCTCAGTCATTAAATACATGCAGTCATTTCCATATTACACAGACAATCACTTACTATTCTTTTGATGAGCAAAGATAACCATGTAGTGCAATAATAGAAAAATGAATTGTAGGAAGTGGACTCAAAGACTTTCCTTGGAAATAGCCATTTCTTCTTATATTACTATAAATGACATTAATGTGATGCCTGACAAAAGGCTTTGACATACTACACAGGACTTTGTCCATTTTGTCCTTAGCTTATAAACTGTCAGAGTATTAATTCAGTCTTCTAAAAAAGAAGAAAAGAAAAAACCCGTTCTGTATTTTCTTCAGTTTTTACAACAGCACTTGATTAAAAAAGCAGTAAAATGCGTGAAATGGAACTTTGTGTGACTTGGTAGTAGCTCTGACCCATTTGGCCTAGTGTTGAGCATCACAGCTTGTATTATTGCAATTCTCACAAGGCTCATAATTTTCTAGGCAATAAAACAATGTGTGTTGGCTCATATAATACTTGAATTATCATTTTTATCACACCAAAATAAAAGCAGTTTGACCAAATTTCAGTTTTGCAGGAAAGGTCATCTTGCCATTTGAAAATCGTTCTAGTGGGAAATTCCCAGCCATCTGTAATAAATTCCACCTTGTGGCAATAATTCCTGTTCTCTTTTGTTCTTATGACAGCGGCCTGTCTTTGCTCATCCTAAAGCAGCAAGGCATTACCTCTTTGCAGTTTCAGTCCCTGAAGCAAATCAGTGCTGGCAACATCTACATAACCGACAACAGCAATTTGTGTTACTACCACACTGTCAACTGGACCAGCCTCTTCAGCACGCCCAGTCAGAAGACGGTGATTCATCGGAATAAAAAAGCGGAGAACTGCAGTACGTACTGCCCAGTGCATCTTTCTTGTTCTGGGATGGACTCCCTAGTGCAAAAAAGGCTGTAATGACTAAAGGGATCCAGTGCAGAGAGCAGGTCAGGAATGTTGCTGCTGTCACTGCCTGAGCTCCATGGGCAGCAGCAGCACGATGATGGTTTGCAGAATCTTTTGGGTTTGGCCCGGTCTGCCTCTTGTTAGAGCTGTAGGCGACTAATGAAAGGTTGAGGAGAGCGAGCCCTGCTCCTTTACACTGATTTGAACCTCCTAGTGTTAGAAATCCAGTTTCACAAATAGGAATTCTGAAGGCAATAAATAGGCAGCGAGTGTCGTGTGGAACCCCCTTCTCCTGCATATGAGACTAGCACCTTGGACTTTGTCTGTCCTGCTTCACTGGAGCAGCCCCTCTGTTTTAGAGAGGTCAGTTTGGGGAATGTTCTTAGTCACTGAGCTCCTTTCCCTCCTTGACGCATCCAGCAAAATGACTAGCAGACTTTTAGTTGGGGCTGATTGTCTTTCTGGAAAGCCTGCGTGGCGCTACCTGAGGTAAGATCACGGTATCCAAGAGCAGACTTTGTGTGCAGCTGTCTAAGCTGCTCAGTTATCCTGGAATCGGGCTGAAGCCGTGTGCCTTTGGCACACACGTGAGGGGTAGGAGGGTCCGTGTCTGAGCTGGGCTTGCCAAAGGAAGGGGCTCCCCGAGGCCGAGCACCTCGGAAGGGCAGCAGTGACGACCAGCCAGGAGCTGAGGGGAACACAGACCCCACGAGAGCCCTTAGGTCACACTGCACTCACAGGTGGGTTGCAAGGGCTGGTGCAAGGACAAGTTGGGGCTTCAGCAGCCCCTGTTCCTGTAGCCCATTCTGATTGTATCCCCAGAGGCTGTGCAGGAGAGGTTCAGGTGCCAAATGAGCATCTTCAAGCTGGTTAGCTCTAGTGGAAGTGAATTGCAGAGCACTTACCTAAATACAGTGCACGCAACTCTCACCTGAGGCATGCCTAAATTCTCTAGTCCTATAAACTGCAGTATTACATACAGCTTTTGCAGAAAACTTTCTACATAATGAATATTACTAATGCACAGTGAAGGACTGACAAGTTACTAGGTAGTGGTTGTGCTCTGGTTGTTATATTTCACCATTCACCTCTATGTTGAAGTGAGCAATTCACTTACTTTTCCCCAGTGCAGGTTTTTTTCTTAATGGCACAGCATCAAAGATGGCTCGTGTTATATAGGAGTATGCACTAAATTAGAAAAAATGCTGTTCTCTGCAAACTTATTTAAATACACCTTTCAGGTTTAGAGGCGACCGCGGTGTACAGTGAAACCCTTCTAGGCAAAGGTTGTTTAAATGTGATCTTTATGAATTGTATCAATTTAGCCACCAATTAACAGCTTGAATAAATGATGGCACTCATTATCAGGCTTGATGCAAAGCTAATTGAAGTCTGCGGGAGCTTTTTATTGAGTTCAAGGAGCTTTGGATCAGGCCCATAAGTAAATAACCAAACAGTAATTTTTCTTTTTTTTTTTTTTTTTTAAGATAGCTAATTTTCTTGTGTTCCATCTAGTTTGTGGAAGCACATTGAGCCTTTCTGCTTCTAACCTGTGTGACCCCATTAATAGAGAATGAGCACTTGTTCTGAAACTCTCAGTGAGACCCAATCAAAAGCAATATTGTTTGCTCCTTCCACGCACAGCCCTGTGAAACACTAGAGCTTCAGAGCGTTTTCAGTCCATTAAAATGCCAAATAATACATCTAAAATGGAAACATTTCTTTATCTCCCCTGTAATTAAGAAGAGATTTTGTAAGTTGTCAAAAAAATCACTCCTTTGCTAAGATTCATTTATGAAAACATTGCTATGACTTAGTAATAAGGAGAATGAAATAGTGATCTTCTATTTAAAAAAAAAAGTGTATTGCTTTTTTTCATACACTGTAGGCCCTGTGTTGGATAGATTTCAATAGTGTAATCATGATTTTCTTTGCATTTACATGAGATTCACTCACTGGACTGTCTTGTAAGAGAGGAATCCTCGCTATTTGCGGGAGTATTTCAGTGTAATGCTGTGTGCACAGGAAGAAATTCTGACCCTCGAGTATCCTAACAACTGATACCTGCAAAGAAAAACAAATCACTAGTTAAAAAAACCCAAAGTTTCAAGTTAAAAAGCAAAGTGAGCAAGCAAATAGGAAACTGCCTTTTGATGACCAGCTGTGTAAAATGAAGAACTACCTTGTTCTTGGGATCAGAAATGAAGAGAGATTGCCCCTATTTGGGGAGCCTGTCAGAAGGCTGGATGAGGTGAAGGGGTTGGCCAGGGCCAGGCCTGAAGTGCTGGAGTCTGCCCTGAATCCCCCGGCACAGCTGGGCTTGCCTCAAAGACAACCAGTTGGATCCCACAGAACTTGCTCCCGGGCAGGGAATATGAGACGAGGAAAACCTGCTTTTTAACCCCCAGCCAGTGCCTCTCCTGAACTGTACCTTACAAAGGCAGTGTGAGACTGAGATATAAATGGTTTGTCTGAAATAGGTGCCAAAGGAAACCTTGTGTTGTTGATGTGTGACACAGCTCTTTGCAATAGCAAACTCTGCAGTTCCTTCTACTTATGAGAAGTTTGGTCAGAGGCAAAGGCAAGGAGCTGCTGAGGAGGTTGGGGTTATGGTTAGGATGGTATCGATGAACCTGGTGTTCCTGCATTCTAGCAGAAATTAGACAGCCACCTGGAGTTACTCTGAAATTGTATTTGCCTGTAGCTGACTTGTGCATTTGGACAAAAGCAGGAAAGGGAAGTACTTCTGAGTGCTTTCTAGGTGTTGTCAATAAGAAAATGTGATATAAAAGAAAAAATACCTAGCCTTCCAGCCTTGCTAAGAGACAGGTATGCAGACTTTTCACATCCCAGCTTGTTTGTGGCACTGTATTGAATAAAGCAGCGCTCGGACTGTGCAAAATGAGAGGTGTTGCAGGAGCAGCGCGTGCGGGTCGCGAGCAAAGCTGGCGAGCAGGTCTGCTGCTGAGGCTGGAGAACATCAAGCCTTTTATTAGTTCTCAGGCTGCCTGGAAAGATGGAAAGGTGAAGTGCCCTTTCGCGGGACTGAATAATGAAAATGTTCTGGGAAGGACAAGGAACAAGTAAATGCAGAGCTGCCATCCTCAGTTGTGAGAAGTCGAAACGTCCAGGTGCAAAGCAAAAGAAATGGAGACGTTTCCCTCCTGCCTCCTTGTTGCATGGGCTAGAAAAGGGAAGCCTGTAAATGTGCCCTGAATGCACTCATGTATTTTTCTCCCCTAAGAAGTGTTGTATAATAAACTCAGTGGTCAAAAGGGGCTGGCAGTGGGAGGAAGGACAGGATAAGTGGCACCTATCAAAGGAAAGCCCCCATCATGGAGCAGGGCGAGAGGTGCAGGAGATGCTGTGTAGCCAGCAGCAGAGGGCAGAGCCCCACGTGCTGTGCAGATCAGAAGATGTGTTTGATGATTGTGCACATCAAACCGTGTCCTGTGATGAAAAGAGGTGATTAAGGAGCAGTTGAAGAGAGAATCTCTGTAGGAAGCAGCACGGTACGATAGGCTCCTGTGACGGATACTCAGTGGCTTCCTAATGGGGCATGTGAGGTTTCTGACTGGGGACATTAAAGTTATGCCCTGTAGCACAGACTAACCAGGGCTAAAACACGTGCTAGAGAGCAGGAGATGCTTCCTGCTCTCCTGCTCCTCCTGTTAACTCTTCTATGAGTTAGGAAGGCTTTGTGCCTCTTAGCTGCTAGAACTCAGTATTTTCTTGATCTGTTGCATGAGATTACATCCGTTACATGTTACATCTGCAGCTTGAGCTATGCTTTGAATGAAGAAAAAACCTTCTCAGGCTTCTGTATCTCCATACGTGAAGGACTTGAAAGAAGCAACAAATGGTTCTCCTTGAGCACATCATCTTCTTGCTGTTCGTGGCTGCAGGGATCTTTATCGTGTTGTTCCTTACCCATTTCTTAGGGCTGCTACTTTCTTTGCTCCTTATACAGAAACCTCTCTATAGTTTTGATTAAACCTGTTACACTATCACACCTTTTCCTCATTCTACTATATCCTTTCCAAAAGGAACAGGCCAGAACTGCAGGTAGTGCTCAAGCTGTGAGCACCCAGTGCATTTCTGCAGTGGTGAGATGATGATTTCCCGGTTTGTTTCTATATTCTCTACAGCAGTTGAACAAAATCTCAACATTTGATCAGCTTTTCCAGCCACTGCCTGTTGACCTGGCATTTTGCAAAAGGCTGATGTTAATGTTTTGTTAATGACTTGTAGCTGGCAGCGGGGAGCCCACTAGTCTATGCACAAAGTTAGCTCTGTTCCCGCCGCCTCCTCGTCCACGTTATCCCATGCAAAGCACCTTGTCTGGAACAGATCGCCCTTGTCTATGTGGCTGCTTCACAGGACTTGCTTTTTCCTTTGTGGGGCATGGCTTCCCGTTGCCAAACTCATTCCATTCAAGTTCTTTTTCTGTGACATATTGTGCTATACCATGTACTGTATCTGTGTGTCCTTTAGCCTGCTCTCTAGAATCATTTCTACCAATTGCAAAATAGCCAGTTTCAAACAAGGAAAAACTTTAATTTCTGAGCATTGTTTCTCTGATGACATTTTCAGGTGTAATGGACTCAGTAACACTTGATGTTGGCTTCTCATTGCTTCCCTAATCAGAGCTTTATTGTTAAGCGTTCAGCGCTGAATAGTTCTGGTAATCTTATTCTTAACCTGATTTGAGAATACAGTTCATTGGGTAGAGTAAGAGAACGACCCGCTGCTGCTGAGGAACAATGATGAAGTCAGAGGATGTGTTCCCCTCCCGGAGCCTGAAATTCTCTAATGTCCTCAGGGCTGTCAAGGTTGGAGGCCTTTAACCCTCCACGAGAACGAGGAGATTAGAGGAATCATGCAAACATTCATAATTGGAATCTAAGTGGGATTTCGCTACCTCTTCTCTGTGCAAGGCTTAGGCTGCCTTAGAGGGATTTTCTCATCCTTTCATTTGAGGGAATTGTCCTGTGTTTCGGGTGCTGGATGAAATGCTTCCCCCTCGGATTTGGGGGGACTTTCCTGACGGTGTCTCCTGTGTCCGCAGCTGCCGATGGGATGGTGTGTAACGAGCTGTGCTCGAGCGACGGCTGCTGGGGCCCGGGGCCCGACCAGTGCCTCTCCTGCAAGCGCTTCATCAGGGGCAGGACCTGCATAGACTCCTGCAACCTCTACGACGGGTGAGATGCTGCCCCTGCACTTTTCCCTCACGATGCTGATTGTGTTGTTCGTTAAGCAGAAATTTGTTTCATTGGCAGTGTGACTGATTTGAAGTAAAATGCGCTCTGGAATAAGTATAAGCATTTCAAAAACTGAACTTAGGTAGAGGAGTTTTGCTAGTATTCTGCCCCCGAAAGTTGCAGGTGATATCACAAGTTTGTTGCAGCTTTTGCATTCCTAAACATGGAGAGAATTTGTTTTAGCTCAAGAGTTCTGAAAATAAAACCCTGTTTGCACCGTTTGAATATTGATACCCCTGTTCAGAATAGCATAAAGTTTTGTGCCTTCATTTAACTTAGATTTAGGCATATGATAAAAAATAAAATCTCCAAACAGGGAGAAAAGAAGGAAACTCTCTCTTGTTTTCATAAAACACTGTTTGTTCATACACAGCTGCATATAATAAAAATAAATTGAGTTCCTCCCTCCTTTCCCACTCCCACCGAGGTACCTGCACCATCTTTTCTAGGGAATGGAGCAGGGGAAGACCCACATACCACAGACAAAACTGGCCAAGTCTCTTAGGACACAAAATAAAGCTGAACAGCTTATGTTAGTTGCAGAAGAAATTATGGAGAGAGTAATGAAAGAACTGTCATGAGTACTTGAAAATGCTCCAAGTTCTTTTTTCAGGAGGATGCATCCCAAACCTTGTCAGAGAGCACAGTTTTACATGCTTAAAAGCCACCTTGTACCCCCAAATTTTGAGGCATGAGTTAAGCAAGCACAGACATTCATCCCTTACAGAGATAGTGTAGCTGCAGTGTTTAATGCATCAAGATGGTATTGATCCTAAGGCTTAGGTGGCAGTCTGAGCTAGCTGTGTAGGCTCCCTCCAGTTAAGGGAAGATCTGTTCAGATGTCACTTCGTTTCATCCTAGAGGATGGTGGGATGAGTTGAGTCAGGAAGATCTCACAACTTCACACCAGAGATTAGCTAATGAATTAAAATAGGAAGTAAAGCAGTTTAAAATGAAAAAGATAGCTTGGCTGATAGTTTCTTGCAGGTATCTAAAGCAAATGACTGAATCTGTAAAACACTTAAGACCTTTTTGGAGAATGGAGTTTTCAAATGACTTAACAGACTTAACAAAACAGAGAGAAAACTGTGATCAGTATTTTTGTACTGCTTTTCTGTCTGATGATGATGTCTCTCGTACACCACTTGGCTCCCTGAGTTTGAGCTCAGAGTGATGATTCCACAGATACAAAAAAAAGAAAGGAGTAATTTCCTCCTGTAAATCAGGTCCCTACTTCTTAAAGAATGAGGAGGAAAAAAAAATCTCAATAGTTTGATATTGTCAAGCATAATACCTTCTGCTTTACTTGCTTGTGAGCAGTGCTGCTGCTGATGGGGCCAACTTTCCAGCTGGTCTAAAGCAGCTGATCATGGCATGGTCATCAGCATGATGCCATTAAAAGAAGTGACCTCAGCTGAAATGATTTTGACCAGGTGAAGAGCCAGCCATTTTAGCTGTTGCCGCCTCAATTTTGGCTTTCTCCTAACCTGTCTGCAAAATCTTTCCCCAGGGAATTTCGAGAGTTTGCGAATGGTTCTGTCTGCGTGGAGTGTGATCCCCAGTGTGAAAAGATGGAAGATAATATGATCACGTGCTATGGGCCGGTAAGAACAATGTGGGCTGTGTTGTGGGACAAGTTAAGGTTGCTGAAGCACAGCAAGTCTCTATTTATGGGATTAGAGTGGCCATTGAAAGGGAACGTGGACAAAAGCAGAAATTATATATAAAGAAGTACATATAAAGCTTACATATGCACACTGGGGTGGGGGCAGAATTGTGTTAAACTGCTGCTGAGAGTTTCCCTGGGTCATGTTCCTTAAGAAAATGATTTTAAATGTAGTATCCTTTTCTTTCCTGAACTCTGTTAGTGCTTTACTGGTGCAGACACACAAAATTGCTTATTTCCTGTATGTATGCTGCATCCTATATTGCTTTGACTGCTTTCATCTTTCATTTTTAAATGACAGATAGTGTTCAGTTGTGCTATGAGTGACTTGCTTTATCTTTGTTTTTATATATTCATAATAATCAATTCAGTCCCATTCTCCTACTATTTCCATTACCTTTATTCCAAAAAGTGCAGAGATTTGTCTCAATCTCTCAGCAACCTTGAGCAATTGTGGGTTTTTTTTTTCTACTTAGATTAGCCTTTAGTCTCTTTTGATAGGGAATTTCTTGCTTGCATCCTGAAATTGATGTTGGCCATGGTTATTGCCTTTATAAGGGACCGATGAATTTTGTTTCAGAGATTGTTGATCTTTCATGGGACAGAGAGAAGTTGCCTCTGTCTTCTGGTCTTTTGTAGTTTGCTACGATAAAAAGCAGAAAATGTCCTACACAATGCTGAGTTGGGGGTGTCCCTGCTGGAGCAGGCGGTTGGACTAGATGATCTCTAGAGGCCTCTTCCAACCTCAAAACATTCTGTGGTTCTGTGTGTTTTGAGCTTTTGTTGGTCACTGAGACAATTTGACCTGTAATTTATTCCCTTATTTTTGTGATGTAATTGCTGCATTAAAAAGAAATACGCAGATGAGCATTCTCCTCTTTTGTGTTACCTGCAGTGCCTTAGGAAACAAGAAGCTAAACTTGCAAGTTTTTGGCCTGTGAGGGAGTTTTGAATTCGTGGCAGGTCTCACAGATGCAGTATCTTAAGACCTTTATTGAAACTGAGCACCAGGTCTGGCTGGCTCCACTAGCTTGTCTGCACAGCTTTTGTATGTTCACAGACTCACAGAATGGTTGAGGTTGGAAGGGACCTCTAGAGATCATCTAGTCCAACCCCTGCTCCATTAGGGACACCCAGAGCACGGGGTACAGGGCGGCATCCAGGCAGGTTTTGAAGACCTCCAGAGAAGGAGCCTCCACAACCTCCCTGGGCAGCCTGTGCCAGGGCTCCTTCACCCTCACAGTCAAGAAGTTCTTCCTCAAATGGGGATGAACCTTCCTGCTTTTCATTTTAAGTTCTCCAGGAGCCCTGGTGCATAGCTCTTAGCAGCCTTGTCTCCCTGCACCTCGTTAGTACTGCTGTGGCCCACGCCCCAGGCAGGACGTAGTAGAAAATTCAGGGGTGCAAAGCTCATGAGTCCCACTGAGAGGCCATTGCAGTTGCTTTGCAAATAATATTCAGTATTGAGCAGGGCAGAAATAAATTTCTCTGCTAGATTAAAGGGGGCAAGTCATTTCTAGTAACTGCACCGAAAGAGGGGCGGTCTGAGACCTGCACTAAAAGACAGAGTAACTTGAATGAACTGCTTTTCCCCCATGCTCTCCAGGGGCCCGACCACTGCACAAAGTGCTTTCATTTCAAGGATGGTCCAAATTGTGTGGAAAAATGCCCTGATGGCTTGCAGGGAGCAAACAGCTTCATTTTCAAGTATGCCGATGAGGATCGCGAGTGCCATCCTTGTCACCCAAACTGCACCCAAGGGTAAGTGCGAATTCTGTGAACTCGAGCCTTCTAGTCACTGCTATTGTGTGTGGGTTTTTTTTTTTG